CAGTTTTAGTACCAAAAAGGATTTGGGGGTTCTATTCTGATTTACTTTCTGATTCTTGAACTACAGATTCTTTTTGGAATTTGTAATTGAAATTAAGTTCTCCCAAACTATTTCTACTACAGGTTTGCCCTGCCTGACTCTTAGAACAACACTGGCTTAGAGGTGGGAGGTGGTGGGTGGCAAAATTACTTCCCAGAGCTGGAATTGACTCTTTAATCCCAGTGATTTGCAAGTGATTTCTGCCCACAAGTCAAATAACCAACATTTATTAGAGGCATATAATGAAGAAGCAATGGGAAAATTTTCTGCTAACATGAGTTTTCAAGAGTAACTTTGTTTTGTTACATGTTTTTTGTTTGTTTACTATTTTAGGGTCGTGGTTTTGGAAAGTAGGCCAACTGATAACCCCACAGCAAATAGCAATTTATACATCCTGGCGGGTCATGAAAACAGTTACTGAGAGATGTTGTGCTTTGACAGTTAACTATAGAAAGAACGAACACTACCACTGCAACATTAACGGATGCTTGAAGCTGTACAAAAGCTGCAGTAACCTGGCTTCAGTTAACTTGTAATTTATTGTGGCATGAGACAAGAGGGGAAATTGTGTGCTTTAAGTGGTATGGATATATTTAGCATACTGAACCACACAAGTGCTTATTCGTTGTTATGTAATCTTTGTATATACAGGCAGTAATTTTTCTGTGAAACTTCATATTGCTGAAGACATACACTAAGAATTTATGTAGATAATGTACTTTTATGAGATGTACAAGTAAGTGTCTTATCTGTACAGATGTAAATGTTGATGAAAATGCAATTGGGATTAATATTTTAAGAATTCTTTAGTATATTCTTGGGTGTGGCTATATTACAAAATGGGATGCTGGCAATGAAACAGTACATTTAACACTATTGTATTTTTATTATATGTAATTTAGTAATACAAAGATAAATCTTGTAACTTTTAAAATTGTAACAGAGGCTGTAATCATTTTATAATCTTGTTTTTAATTTTAATGCAAGTACACTGGTGTGTTTATATTTGCACAAAGTATTGATATGTGATGTATTAAGTCACAAAAGTAAGCTGTGACATTGTCAATGTGCATTCAGCTCCACAACATCTTTTTTAAATGTATTTGGATTGTTTTCTACGTGAAGCAAACCAATTAACCCTCTGTCGTAGTAACTGGTCTTTTTATATTTAAGCAGAATCCTGTAAGATGGCTTGTCTGTGCTTAAAAACAATACCTTTGGGAAATTTTTGAATCACAGAATAGCGGTACCGTGATGTAACACTGCAGTTGTTGGCCGAGTTACAGTATGCACAAAGTATAAGCATATTAGAGAGTCCACACTAAACATTTCATATAATCACTTTAAAGAACTATGACATTCCATAGAGTGAAGTGGTTCAAATTTCTAGTGGAATTTTTACTTTTGTTGGCCTTATTTTATGATCATTTTCATGTTTCTTTTGATTTAGAATATTTAACACATGGCCAAAATAATTTAGTTACTACCTCATATAAACAATGTAATGGTTACTACACATCACAGGAACTTGGTTTTGGTTAAAGTCATTTTTGATTGCTTTTTTCCAGTGGAATATGTATATACCAAGTTTTAGCAAAATGCACACTTTTGGCTCTTTTTTGGTATATGTTCTTTATATTTTAATGTGAGTATATACACTAAGAACAAACTAAATTGTGATTTAATGGTCTTCATTTATTTTAATTGACAATGCTTTTAAATATGTTCATGATTGTACATAGTGTAAAATAAACATGTTTTTTAACATGCTGTTGTATAGTAGCTCGTCATCTGGCTTAATCTGTATATAGTGAGACTAAAACATATTAAGGAGAAAATTTTTTTAATTATTCTGCATTAAATCCTTAGGTGACCATTCTGATCCCTCAGCTCATGAAATTTTTATTCAATCTGTTCATCTCAATTTCATAAAGGACTGATATTCCCTCATTTGAGAAAAGGGCATCTTTTGTAGAATCTTCAACTTCCTGATCAGGAAAATCAGTAAAACATTCGTAACCTTTTGGTTAGAGCAGGGATTGGCAAACTGCATTCCTCAGCCCAATCCTATTCAATGCCTATTTTTATAAATAAATTTTACTGGGAAACATACTCATTTACACGTTGTCTGTATAGCTGCTTTTGCCAAAAATACAGTTTTCCCAAATAAACTGTATGGCCCACAGAGCCTAAAATACTTACCATCTGCCCCTTTATGGACAGAGTTTGCTGCTTCCTGGGTCGGAGAACAGAAGGGAGAGTGTTGGGAATGCAGTTCCGGAGGCCGGAGAGGGGACGATTCGGTGGGAAGAACTGTGCTGGGAGCAAGAGGTGGCGTTTCTACTCCTGTGAATGCTCCTGCCTGTTGTTGCCACCTTGGGTGACTGACTTGACTCCAGAACAGTTTCTTTATGTAAAACTGTGACTTCTAAATCACACAGATGTTAATAGTCATAGCAGTTGTGTACATTTATCACTTTTCCCAAATACATTGTGACTAATCTTAACATTAATAACTGAATAATGATTTTCAAAAACACGTCTTTTATCAGTATAACATCATCATCAGTTTGTTGAAAAAACAGAGGCTCGTGGAAAAGGTTTTTGAGAAATCAGTATTCTATCCTTGCCATTTATTGACAACATTGTTGATCCTTTTTCTGGGCCACTGCTTTTTTCTAGTGTCTAAGTCCCATAAATTATATAAAGGGTCACATCGCAAAACACTAAACCATCACGTTTAACTGTCAAGCATTTCAAAATATTTACAGAAAATAAAGTACACAACTGGTTGTGTGTTACACATGGGCTTTTTAAAACTACTGACCCCTGGAATCAATTTTTGAGGATGAGGCCCAGTAACCTGTATTTTTATGAAGTTGTACAAATGATTCTGATATGCAGCCCTCCGTGAGAACCACTGGCCCGACACTGAATTTAAACCAGTGTTTCTGAGTGTGGTCCAAGTACCACCTGCCTCAGAAAGAAGAATCTTTGATAACACATAAAAATGGAGATTTGGGGGCTCCACCCAGTAACTTTTGATTGAGGCCCTTTATTCACTCAAAAGGAAGAGAACTACTAACTGAAATGTTGGAAACAAACGATTTCATCTTCACTGAAATTCAAAACTGTCTATCTTGTTAGCTAGTTTCTTAGACGGTGTTAAGAAGAATGAAATCAGTTGTTCCTGGGCCTGTTGGCATCATTCATCTAGCAAGTGGATCACTGATTTCAGTAGAGACAAGGAAATAAAGGACAGGTATCAGTTTTCACCATTACTAGAAGGAAGGTGGAGGGAAGTGTGCTATATGAAATAATGGGTAGACATTAAGAGTATTACTTGAGGAGACATAGTAACAGGAAGTGCCCAGTGCACGTATCTGTGTGCCAGGTGCTATTCCATGTGCTAAATTTACATAGATTGTCCTAGTGAGGTGCCAGAACAGCCCAGTGAGGGAGGAATTGTTAATGCCACTTTAGAGATGAAACTAGGGCAACACAAAGGTTAAATAACTTGCCCAAGAATATAGCTGGTAAGTAGTAGAGCTAAGATTTGAACCTAGGCACTTAGTTCAAGGTGTATATTCTTAACTACTGTACCAGACTGTAGTACCCAGAATATATACAGTATATCTACTACCCTCGGAAATACATTCTAGCATTGCTCCCCTGCAATTAGACTTACTTTCTCCAGGAATTGGATTTCAAATTCTGATTTTCACTGTCTCTTTGCAGCAAAAGAGAAATTAACTTTCTGCATTAATTGTTTGCATTTTCTTTATTCAGTGTGTTTTTATGTAAGAATAAAAAGATTTGCATATAATTAATTTTACAGTTAAAGCTTATGAAATAAGTCTAGTCAAAACTCATTACAAAGACTTTTTTTTTCTTTTTTTTTTAATTCTTGTGAAGTAATTATTTAACCAATATGCATTGATTACTTACAATGGATTAAGGCACTTTACTGGCACTGGGGAAAAGATGGAAAAGGCATCATTCCCAGTATTCCAGGAGCATGCTTGGATGAATAAAGATAAATTTAAGGAAAGGTACAAAAGGCTGTGCCTAATTCTGCTTTGGGAAAAGGAAAACCTTTGTGTAGAACATTATATATAAACCAAGCTGTTGATAGATGAAGAGGAGTTTATCGAGTGCAGAAAAAAATCAAGGTAGGGAGCTGTGGCTAGACTAAGCCATATGCAAAAATACTGCATGTTCAAGGAAAAGTGAGGCTAAATGCAGCTGAGCTTAAGGTGTGTAGAGCAGAGTAACAAGGCCTGAAGCTAGAAAAAAAGGATGGGCCTCATTGCGAAGAGCTTCCTAATGAGAAAAGTAGATCCCGTAGTCAACAGTTAAAGAAACTGCAGGGATCAGGTTCCATGAAGATGAAAATAGCCATTGGGTTTGTACCTAAGGTGATGGCTTGGATCCTTACTGAGAAAATTATCTATGTAGCATGATGAGGGCAAAGATGATAAGAGAAATAAGTTGACGTGAGTTTATGTAAATTTGAGTTTAGTGGGAGTTATGTTTGGTCTTGAAAGAGGAAGGAGATAAAGGTTACTGGTTTGGTTTTGTTTCTGAAGGTGGGAAATTAGAGCATATTTCTAAGCACATGAAGGAAGTGGAGAACTGAAGATGAGAAAAGGTCTCTGCCCAGGCAGGGAAATGGACTAACATCAACGTTTACAAGGGCTTAATCTTTGTGCTCCTGAGGCCTTGGAAAGGAACAGTGTTATGGAAAAGCAGTTAAAACGTTTCCCGAGTGCCTCCTTCAAGGCATCTTGAAAGGGTTCTCCGAGGAGAGATCGCTGCCGTGTCCACACTTCAGGGCTCAGCCCAAAGATGAGCCACCGAGATGCTGAGCCGGGCGCGCGGGCTTCCCCTGCGGTGGGTGCCAGGGGAACCCGCTCCGGAAGCCGCGGGGCCCGCGCGGCCCGAGCGTCCGGTTGCCCGGGAGACGCCGCGGCGGGGGCGCTCCGGAGTCGCTGCGCCGCTGGCTGGCTGCGTCCCGCGCCCCGCGCCGGAGTCGGGGCCGCCGGGGCTGCTCGGGGCTGCGTCGCCGTCGCCGCGTCCGCGCCGTAAGTGCGGGTGCCGCCGGCGGCGGGCGGGGGCCGGGTGGAAGCGGGTCGGCGCGGGGGATTGGAGAGAGAAGTGGAGTGTGGATGGAGGCTCCTAGAAAAGGCTCCTGAGAGAAGGGGAGCGCGAAAGTCTTCCCCTTCGGCGGCCTCTGGCGGGACAGGCAGGGGTGGGGGCGAGGGGCAAAAGGTGAAGAGTGGCTCCCGCCGGAAAAACGACCCTCCCGGTGCGGCCTCCCGGGGGCTGGAGGGAGGCGCCGCCCTGGGGAGGCGAGCGAGGGCGCATCTGCACTTTGGGGGACCCATGTGGTGTGGCGAAGCTGGGCTGTCATTAAACGTATAGTCAAGACTAGTTTAAGGGGCAGGGTATAGCTGGGTGGTAGAGTGCACACCTAGCATGCACAAGGTCCTGGTACCTCCATCGAAATAAATAAATACCTAATTACCTCCCCCAAAACAACAAGGACAAAACAAACAACAAACAAAAAGACCAGTTTAGAGGCTTGGAAATAAAATGGATTATGCCAGACTTATAAATCTGTCCTGTGTACACAAGACAGGTGAGGTTTTTAAACAAAATTAGCTTCTTGGATTATGAAAAGTGTATGGCCTTCTGGTTTTCTGGGGATGCTTTTAATTAATCCAATTGTACTATAACCAAGACAAGTTTATAAAGAGATGTGTGTACTTTTAAAGTTCTGCAATTAGGTATTATGTTTGTAAGACAGATGGAGGATTGTCTTACAGCCCATTTTCCTGGTCCATTTTATTAAAGATAAATGTATGTTTGTTGCATTGGAAACAATAACAACACAGCAGATTATGACTTTTAGCCTGTAGAATCCACAGCGGGGAAACCTCATTCCTAACGCCACTATTTTACACGAGTTGCCTATAAACTTTTAGATTAGGCAGTTAATGTGTTTTTTTGCCCTATTTCCTCTTCCCTACTTAATTTTGCTCTTCTTCTGTCAGTGTATTCTTTAAAGACTTGCTCAAGCCCTCATGACCTGCTTTGTGATACAATCGTGGAATATAATCTTCCTCCAAGTGTTTTCTCCGTGTCTATGTGCATCCTTTTTCAAATCCTCAAGACCAAAGCAGTTCAATAGAAAATTTTCAAGGAATTTAATGATCCGCTCAAGTATCTATCTGTTTATCTTTGTATATTCACCAACTGGCCCAAGTCTATGCCTGTTTTTGCTTCCCTTTGTACACAGAACATTGTTAACAGTCAAATATTTGGTAAATTCTCAAGTCAGGAGTCCCTGTAGCCAAGAGGTACATAGGTTCAGATTGAAGGTCACTAATTACTGTGAAAAATACTTTAAGCCAATTGCATCTATTCCCTGCCAATAGCTAACTCACAGTTTAATCTTGATTTCCTGCCCAGGTTACTATATTAACAAGCAGAATGTAATGATTGCCTTTGCTTAACAAAGAAAGTCATTCTGCATATTTTGTAGAAAAGCTAGAGAATAAAATTATGGCAGGACTACAACAGACAGGCTGAGCACCTACTGTGTGCCAGACTATGGGCAAACAGTAGAAGTCAGGTGTGATGAATAATGTGTGAAAAAGGAGCAGGGGGGGGGGAGTTGTTAACTCAGTATGTGTGCAGAGAGAGAGCTTGCCTTTGGGGATGGGGAAGGCTAAGTAGAAAAGACTGTTTGAGTTGAACAACAAAGGATTTCGGGGTCAAACCTTCCAAGCAGGGGTGTAAACAGAGACTGAGAGATCTGAAAGTGTTTGGGGAAGAATCTGAGAAGCCGTGCAGGAAAGGTTCACTGAGACCAGGATGGAAAGGCCTGTAAACATCATACCACAGTTTGAACTTTCTTCTGAGGCCACACACATTTTTGAGGGAGGACAATATCTGATTATATTGATGTTTAAGAAAGATATTTTTGGTGTAAGTGAAGTAGATATACAGGAAAAAAAGCGAGTTGAGACACTTTAGTCCCACTATATATGGGTTTTAAAAATAGCTCAATTTTTATATAATTTCAAACCTGCAAGAATAGTACAGGGAACTCCCATACATCTATATTCATTCGTTATTTAAATTTTACTCCATTTATTTTATCATTTCCTTTCTACCTCTCTTTGTATATATATGTATATGCATATTAATCTTTCTGTACCATTTGAGAGTAACTTGCAGACATCATATCCGTTTCCCTTAAGTGGTTCAGTGTATATGTCCTAAGAATCAGGACATAAGCACAGTACAGATTACCAAAATCAGGAAACTTGGTATCTGATCCACCGTCAGTATTTAGGTTTTGCCAGTTATCCCAGTATGATTTTTTAATAGTTACTCTTCCCCGTTCCAGGGTCCAATTCAGGGATCAGGCATTACATTGTGTTTTCACATCTCTTCAGTCTCCTTCAGTCTGGAATCGTACTTTGACCTTTGTCTTTCAGGACCTTGATATTTTTTAAGAACACAGGCCCATTATTTGTAGAATGGCCCTCAATTTGACTTTGTCTGCTGTTTCCTCATAATTAGATTCAGGTTTTGCATTTTTGGCAAAAATATCACAGAGGTGATGCTCTGTCCTTCTCAGTGAGTTAATTCTGATATATTGTATGAGGTAGCTATCTTAAGTTTTTTGTTTTTAATCCTTGTTTTTTTGCATATGGATACCCAGCCGTCCTAGCGCTGTTTGATGAAAAAGATATTTTCCTTATTGAATTGCCTTGGCATCGTTGCCAAAATCAATTGATCATTAATCAAGGGGTTTATTTCTTGACTCGCTCTTTTGTTCCACTGATATATATGTCTGTCCTTAAGCCAATATCATTACTCCCTTAATATACCGTAACTTTGTAGTAAAATTTGAAGTCAGGTGATGATAAGTTTTCCAAGTTTATCCGTACTCCAAGTTGTTTTGGCTCTTCTGGGTCCTGTGCATTTCCATATAAATCTTAGGTTCATCTTGTCGACTTCTACCCCCCAAAAAAGCCTATTTTTTAATAGAGGTTCAATTTGATCTATAGATGAATTTATGGAGAACTGACATCTTGCTGAGTTTTCCTATCCATGACCATGGCATTTCTCTCCTTTTCTTTAAACCTGTTTTAATTCCTCTCGGCCGTGCTTTAATTTCCTGTGGACAGGTCTTGCACTTCACTTTTTAAATTTTGTCCCTAAATATGTGATTCTCCTGATGTTACTGTGAGTGGAGTGTTTTTATTTTTAATTTCATTTTCAAATTGTTTGTTACCAGTATGTAAAAATACAATTTTTTATTGTATTCTGACCTTGGATCCTACTACATTGCACATTTGTTCATTAGTTACAGCATTTTTTTGTAGACTCATTAGGATTTTCTACACACAGTAGCATACCATTTCCAAATAATAGTGGTTTTTCTTTCCATTCCCAATCTATATACCTGTAGTTTCTTTTACTTGACTTACTGCACTGGTGAGAACTTCCAAAACAATGTTAAATAGAAGTGAAAGCAAACATTTTTTCCCCCAATCTTAGGGGAGATACATTCAGTCTTTCACCATTAAGCATGATGCCAACTGTAGATTTTTCATAGATCTGCCCTGTAAGAAGTTTCCTCTTATTACTAGTCTGTTGAGATTTTTATTGTGAATGGGTGTTGAGTTTTATCAAATCCTTTTTTTATATCTGCTAAGATGATCATGTCCTTTGTCTTTTATTCTGTTAATATGGTGTTTTACGTTATTGATTCTCAGGTATTATAGTAAGCTTGCATTCCTGGGATAAATCTGTCATAGACATGATGTATATCCGTTTTATACGTTTATGCTAATTATTCTGTTGAGGATTCTTGTGTCTATATTAATGAGAATAATGGTCTGTAGTTCTTTGTGTGATTTCTTTGTCTGACTTGGTTATCAGGGTAGTACTGGCCTTATAGAATTAGTTGGGAAATGTTCTTCCCTCTTCTGTTTTTTAGAACAGTTTGTGAAGGATTGGTATCAATTCTTTGAATTTTTTATAGAATTTCTCTCTGAAGCCATCTGAGCCTGGGCTTTTCTTCGTGGGTAGATTTTAATTACCAATTCAGTTTCTTTATTTTTTATTATGGGTGTAATAAGATTTTCTATTTTTCCTCTAGTCAGTTTGGTATTTTGTGTCTTTTTAGGCATTGGTTCAACAAAGTAGTTTAATTTGGTTGCATAAAGTTGTTCATAATATTCTCTTTTTACCTTTTTAATTTCTGTAGAGTGGTCCTGATTTTGGTAATTTTTCTTTCTTTTTTCTTAGTCAGTCTAGATAAAGATTCAATAATTTTGTTGATGTTTTTCAAGAACCATTTTTTTTTGCTTTATTGATTTTTTGCTATTATTTTTCTGATGAGAAATCAGACGTTAATCATATTGCTGTTCCCTTGTCTGTGAGTAGTTCTCTCTCACTGTTTTTTGGTTGGTTGGTTGGTTGGTTTTGGTTTTGGGGTTTTGCGGGGTTTTTTTATTGAAGTATAGTCAGTTTACAATGTTGTGTCAGTTTCTGGTGTACAGCATAATAGTTCAGTCATACACATACATACATATATTCATTTGTATATTCTTCATTATGGATTACTGCAAGATACTGAATATAGTTTCTGTGCTATATGGTATAAACTTATTGTATATCTATTTTATATATAGTAGTTGGTATCTGCAAATCTCAAAATCCTAATTTATCCCTTCCCTGCCTGGTAACCATAAGTTTGTTTTCTATGTCTGAGTCTGATTCTGTTTTGTAAATAAGTTCATAAGTTCATTTGTCTTTTTAGATTCCATATATGAGTGATATCATATGGTATTTTTCTTTCTCTTTCTGACTTACTTCACTTAGAATGACGATTTCCAGGTCCATCTGTGTTACTGAAAATGGCATTATTTTATTATTTTTTGTGTCTGAGTAGAATTCCATTGTATAGATATACCACAGCTTCTTTATCCAGTCCTCTGTTGATGGGCAGTTAGGTTGTTTCCATGTCTTGGCTATTGTATGTAGTGTTGCTATGAACATTGGGGTACATACGTCTTTTTGAATTAAAGGTCCCTCTAGATATATGCCCAGGAGTGGGATTGCTGGATCATATGGTAAGTCTGTTTTTAGTCGTTTGAGGAGTCTCCATACTGTTTTCCACAGTGGCTGCACCAAACTGCATTCCCACCAGCAGTGTAGGAAGGTCCCCCTTTCTCCACACCCTCTCCAGCATTTATTGTTTGTCTCTCACTGGTTTTCAGATATTCTTTTACGTTTTCAGCAGCTTGGCTGTGATATATCCACTTACTGATCTCTTTGTGTTTATCCTGTTTTGGGGATTTGTTAAACTTACTGAATCTGTAGATTAATGTTTTCCATTAGGTTTGGAGAGTTTTTGGCCATGACGTCTTCAAATTTTTTTTCTGCCCCTTTTTTTCACTCCCCTAATTCTGAGAATCTCACTCCATGTAAGTTGGTACTGTTGATTTTGTCCTGCAGGTCTCTGAGGCGCTGTTCATCTGCAGTATTTTTCCTTCATTGGTCACTTTCTAGCCATCTGTTTTCAGACTCACTGATTCTGTCTCCTGTCATCTCAAATCTTCTGTTGATTCCATCTGGTGAATTTTTCATTTCAGTTGTATTTTTTTTAATCTAATATTTCCATTTGGTTCTTTTTTATACTTTTCATTATTGTGATGAGATTCCCTATTTATTGAGTTATCGTGTTTTCCTTTAATTCTTTAAATTATCATTTAAATTTATTTGAATATACTTCTAACAGCTGTTTTTGAAGTCTGTCAGCAAAATCCAATACCTGGATCCACTCAGAATTCATTTCTCTTGACTTCCCCTGAGTATTGGTCACAATTTCCTTTTTCTTAGCATGCCTTATAATTTTTTATTGAAAATTGGACATTTTGGATAATATGTTATCCAGAAATTCTAGATTCTGATTTTTCTCCCCTGAGGGTTTTTTTTTAATGGGCTGTTTTTTGTTTTTGCAACCTGCCGGTATCCTAGGATCTGTCTCCTCCCAAGTGTCTGCTCAGTTTTATTTTCTCACCCTGGCTTTTGCAGAAGTCACCACTGTCTGCATAGCTTGGCAGTCACCAGTAGTTTGAGCAGTGCTGGTACTCAGACATAAGCCTTTCACTCTCTTCCAGGGGATCAGCGTGTGGTTGGGGAGCACATTCAAAATTCAGCCCGTCCTCAGACCTGGCCAGCGTTGACTTTCCTCTAGGCCTTCTCAGGTCTTCCCCAGGTGTGCCTGCAGCTTCCCAGTTAGCCAGAGATGTGTGGAAAGCTGATCTCACCTTTCTATGGTTCTTTCATTTTTAGGATCTTCCCATAAATTTCTGGCTAATCTACACCTCACCCCAACTGGACCACATTCTCAGGCTTACAAACCTGTTTCCTTTCCCATTTGTTTCATACTGAATTGGTAGGAATTTTACTGACATAATTGTCACAGGTTTTCAGCCTCTGAGCCATATCAGAGACATCCCCCAGAAGTAAGGCTGCTGGCCTGGCCAGCCCACCACTACACCTGCTGGTCACACCACTACACCTGCTGAGCCGGGGGACAGAGGAGAGGATGGATGGCAACAGCCTCGGGCAAGAAACCACAGACCCACTGCTCTTAAGTGGAGTTCTAGCAGCTTATCACAAATAAATGCTTCTCCAGTTGTTTGTTTTTTTTGTTTTTTTTTTTTTTTTTGCTTTTGCTTGATTTCCAGATCCTGAAAATTGTTGGTTTGGAGTTTGGTTGGTTGGTTGGTTGCTTTTTTTTTTTTTTTTTTGGACAAAATTTTCCTTAGTCTTATGCTTGTGTTTTAGGAAAAGGACTTGCCCATCTCTTTACCCTACCCTAGTCAAAGTCTGACCCCTTGTGCTTTTTCATGGGATTTTTTGAAAACATAACTTTCTCCACTTCCTGTACTGAAACCAGTCTAAATTCTCAATCTCTAATTGGGCAAATTTTGGTAGACTCTATTTTCCTAGGAAATTATCCATTTCATCTAGGTTTTCAAATTCATCTGCATAGATGCCTGCAAAGTAGTCTCAAGAATAAAAAAAAAAGTCTTCTGTTTTGATGGTTACTCCCTCTTGTCATTTCTTACTTTACATATTGTTTTTCCTTTTTTCCTTCAGTAAGTTAGTTAACGATTTGTCTATTTTAAATTTTTCCGGGAACCAGGATTTTGGTTTACTAATTAGATTTACTATTTTTTGTATTCTCTGCTTTACTAATTTCTGTTTCAGTTTCATTATTTACTTTCTTATGCTTTCCTTTGGTTTATTTTTTAGTTCTTTTTCTTTATGATTTTTCAAGATCCCACCCCCCTCCTGTCTTTGCTCTCTGCAAAAGTTTACAATGGCAGCTTCAGAGATACCTCTTCCAAAATCGGGGGTTTACTTTTCTATATAAGTTCGTAGACTTCTCTGTCCTTGTGATGTTGAAGGCATTGGTTTTGTGCAGTTTTATTGTTCTAGTTGACTTCTGTGGCTTTGTGAAACAGATATGAAGAGAGGTTCTATTTAAGGGACTGCCACTATCCTTGGCTACTTCAGAGTTTTCACCACACATCTCTTCACAAGCCATTTAGATGCAACGTGGAGCAAGCCTGGGCATTTGGCTTAGAATGTCCTGATTTTGAGCTGGTTCTGTCCATTCCTACAGAGAGTTCATCGAGCAGTGAGATATTTGGTCAGGAGAGAGATTAGGAATTATTGCTTCTAAAAACTCTGGTGGAGTCCAGGTGAGCTGGAGTTAGAGCCATCAGTTCCTTTGTGGAATTCCTGCCATGTTCTAACTCCTGCCTGTTCAGATTCATCTTCCATGAACCCTGTGAGGACTTCAGAAAACAGATAATATTGAGACGTTACCAGGTGAAGTTCTATTTTCTGGTGCTTCATTTTATCATATTCAGCAGTTTGGCTGATGTGACAGATATCTAAATATTTACCTGTTCATATCTAAATATGAACCTGTTGAAAGAAAAGGAAAATCGTAGATCAGTAGATCAAATCACCTACTTAGAAGGAAATAAAATAACATGTAGACTAAAACTTTACGGTTAAGTCTTTTGGCACGTTCAAAATTTTCTCGAGAACCATAGTGCTTATCAAGTAGGCTAAATTCATAAATCTACAAAGCTCTGCACCAATAAATTTCTAAAGCAAACGCATGGTTTCTTTTGTCCTCTTCCCAGTCACCTATTTCTAGGCTATAGAAAAACAAGTGTATGCATGCTTCTATCTAAATAGCTTTAAGATAATAGAACCTGTTTTGTTTGTTTGTTCTTTTGGAGGGGGAAGAGGAGATAATTAGGTTTATTTATTTATATGAATTTGTTTTTTAATGGCGGTACTGGGGATTGAATCTAGGACCTCATGCATGCTAAGCACCCGCTTCACTGCTGAGCTATGCCCTACCCCCCAGTTTTAAAATACAGTATAATTAAGAGAGTTTTCAGAGTATAATCTGTGATGGGTTTTGCTGGTATCTGAGTGTGTTGCTCAAGTTGTCTTCCTTTTATAAGAGAGAGAATAGAATCTACAACACTAACAAAGAAATAGCATGAGTAAAGCAGTATGACAGTATTTATTTCAGAAACACTTTTCCCAGTTGTCTGCGAGCCAGAGCAGATGATTTCTTTCTCCACTGAGATAATCTGTAGATGGAAAAGACTGAATAAGAGTGAAGTTAAAAATGTGTACTCATTTGAAACATGAGAATTTTTTAAAGTGGTTAGCTCTGTCACTTAACATTTCACTAATCCTAAGACCTGGAATAAGTGGTTCTTCAAATTGTGCGTTCTCTTGAATCAACTGAGAGGCAGTGTAGTGTTGTGATTCAAATTGTGATTTCTGGAACCCGACTGCCTGAGTTCTAATTTCATACTAGCTTCACTGTGCCTGTTTCCTCATCTGTATAACTGAATAAGAATAACACCTACTTCATAGGGTATTTGTGCAGATTATATGTAATTTGCATAGAAACAATGTTATTTAATTGCTAACTATTATTATTACTATTAGATTGTATTAAGATACTGCTGGAAAAACTGGGGTGGGATTTTTGAGACTATTTAGAATTTGTGTATTTTTAATTGCTACATTGATATATTTAATTACACTGGCCTTACTTGTTACTTAATATGTAAACCAGTCACCACAAAATTTATGAATGTGTGATGCAAGTCAGAAAAATCAAGCCTCATATTTCAATAGAAATCACTATGGATGTGAAAACATTCATGAAAAATTAGAAAAAGCTTTCCTCTTTTTGTGCTTTATTATTATTTTCTTTGAGATCTAAGAGTTTAAGGATCCATTCCTTCATATATATAAAAGTTAAGGGCAGTAAATGCTCTGAAAAGATTTTGTTACTGTTTTTGATAGCTGCTTTTTTCAACAGCCCTCTTTCTTTTATCCACCAGGTGGCAGTAGAGCACTTTGTACCATGTCCTACTCACCGCAGTACTGACAAGGGTTAGGAGGGCAAAGAAACACCGCACACCAGAGTATACAGTGTTCCTTCAGCTGGATTCTACAGCATCATATTTTAATCATTTTCTTGAGGATAATGACAATAGACTGGATAAGGTTCTTTTCTATAAATTCCCAGTTCACTGAAGTAAACACAGACCCATTACAAGAAATAATACATGGAATCTTTGCAGTGGGTGAAAGAACAGCATAGGACTGAACTAAATGAAAAATAACGTCCAAATATTTTTCAGTGTATTTAGAATAAATTGACGGAAATAAATCTTTGGCATCCTGGGCTAATTGGCTTTACACAGAAAACTGTGAAGCACTGTCCTTGGTAACATGATCAAGCTGAGTCCTCTTATTTTCTAGGTGCAGTGCTGAACTGCAAGTCGATCGATACCAGTAATTTAAGTCACTTCAGCTCAAATGGAAAAGTATGAAAAATTAGCCAAGATTGGAGAAGGGTCTTATGGAGTTGTATTCAAATGCAGAAACAAAACCTCTGGACAAGTGGTAGCTATCAAAAAATTTGTGGAATCCAAAGACGATCCTGTGGTTAAGAAAATAGCTCTACGAGAAATAAGTATGTTGAAGGTAGGTTGGCTTCCTCTGTCCACCTGTAATAGCATGGTACTGAGTGAAATGTGTATGCCAAAATTACAGAGGATTTTAAAGTGATTTTGCTTTCCCCATTGGACTTAAATTTCTTTGTATCAGCAGCTATGTAAATTGATCATCACTTTGGACTTTGGCCGCTCTGATGTTTAACTAATATTAAGAGTACAGCTATAGATGGTTAGAATATTGAAGTTCTTCCGTTCTGGCTGGTCCTAAGTACCCCCAGTGTTTACCCTCCCCTTCAACCCTGGCCTTCCCCACCCCTGCTCCCCCCAAAGCATCCCACTCCAGCCCAACTACTTCTCCCCACAAACCAGCAACTAAGAGAGCAATTCCTGGCACAGAGGGGCCCATAGGACTGTGCCAGTGCCCCTTTAGGCATCTGTGTGGATTGGTCCCTGCCTGTGCTCCACTGGCTCTTGGCGTATTGACTGTCACCCCCAGCTGTGTATAGACATATGACACAAGCGTTTTGTTAGAAATTGTTTTTACTCTGATAGGATCTGATATGTAAGCGTCATTAGTTCTCAGTGTAAACTTTTTCCTATCCTAAAAATCTTACAGTTTTAGAGCCATGAGAGAGCTTAGAGATGCTTCTCATCCAGCAGCCTTATTTCATCAGAGAGGAAACGGAGGCGGAGCATGGCGCTCCTCAAATATTGACGCGCACCGGGATCCGGGGAGGGAGGTGGTTCTTGTTGAAATGCAGAGTCTGAGTCGAGGTCTGGGGTCAGCCTGAGATTCTGCGTTTCTAACATACTCCCTGATGGAGCCAGCAGCAGCTTGTCCATGGACCACACTTTGTGTAACGAAACTGATTTCCTCAGAAACACACAGCTGACCTTTACTTTTGACAGGTGTCTTAGGAAAACACCAGAAATTCAGTTTTTAAAGAGAGATAATATTTATTATATCATCTATCCTTTTCAAGTATTATTTGTAGCAGGTTTCCTCAACTAAAAAGTTTCAGTGTTTCGTTTAAAATGTAATTTGATAAACATGGAGTTTTCAAGAGCACACCCATCATGATTTAAAAAACAAGGAACAAAAAAAATTCCCTGTTACCTCGTAGCCAGCAGAGGGCGCTAGTCAGACAGCCAGCTCATCACAGAACTGAACTGCAGGGTGTGTCTGAACCTGGCAGTGGGTTGTTTTCTAATAAAAGATGCTTTTTATCCACCCTCTCCCACCAAGCCTTCAAGTAAAGTTAATGCTTAACCTCCTGGGTTGCAAGAGCCCAATTTGACAGTGCACTTGAAGGTAAAAAGTAGCCAGACTCCAACTCTTTCTGGTCTCCAGTGATGGCTCTCAGAATGAATGTACATCTTTCCTGCTTTTGGTATGTTTCACCCTGTGCCCTGAACAGATCCCTTCTGTGATACATCTACCTTACCTTCCTCACAGGCTCCTATTATTTACATTTTGCTCTGATTCCCCTCCCCTCCCCCTGCTTCCTGCTACTACCTGTTTTACTTTCGACAAGTCACTATTTTTCTGGGCTAAGTTCATTTTATTTGCAGAAAAGATCTAAATTGCCGATATACCCAAAGACAGGAGATTTGACCAGGTTAAACCTTGTCGTTGCATCCACCGTAGCACCCGGGACTCCCTGACTCTCCTGGCAGAGACCGTTTTGCTCCTGTCCTGCAGTTTGTGCCTCAGCACTGAGCTCACCTGTGTGACCTGTTTCCTCCACTGTTGGCCTTTCTGCTCTTGTCGACGGTGGAGCACATAGAAAACAAATGGATCTGGTGCTCTGGGCACGTCCTTAATGTATAATGGATTCCCTTTATCCCGCACTGCGGAGCAGCAGGCACATAATCACAGGGTGATTTCTTTGTGGTGGTTCTATTTTTTGGTCAAGCCATGCTTACAAGTGCTGAGGGAGAGGGTGCTATATAAGCCCCCATACTTAAGACTCTACTGGACCTGCAAAACATGTACTGAGCTTCTATTATATACAAAATACTTCTCTCTCTCCATATATCTTTCTGAGTAAGTGGTGCATAGGGTTTAGAAAGTTGATTTGTCTCCCATACTGGGACAACAACACGGAGATGTGTTATAAGCAGGAATGATCAGATGTCCTGGTTTGTAGCTTTTGTACCATTGTTCAGTCTGGTTAGCATTCTGTTTGTCTGCTTAGCATCTTCTTTCAAAAATATACTGGTTTGCATGTGAAATTATACGGTCACCTTAGCCATAGGCAGGATGACCGTATGTGTCAATTTGCCAGGAACAGTCCTGGCTTATACTTGTTACCCTGGTTGGATGATAAATTGTGCAGTTACTGTAGTGACAGATGATTTTACTTAGTCAAGATTGGTTTGATTTGGGGGGGGGTTACAACATTAAACAGAGGCTGCCTCGTGAAATGCTTCAGTTTGGGAATCAAATTTAACATATAAAACATCTGAGCATAAGAGAGAACAAGAATCAAAGAAGAGAGCTGAAAATGTGATAAATAAATTTAAAACACAGACCAACTGTAGGGACTCCTAGAATATGCAGTTGAATCAGATTTGAGGGTTGAGATCTAGTATTTCTGAGAGCCAACACTAAAATCCAGACCAGGTTTAAATCCAGCTGACGTTTCCATTAAATCCATGGCAATATGTAAGCTAAATGGGTATTGATGATTTTTATAGTCTTTTGCTCAATAATTCCATTACCATTCTTTATTCAGTTCATTTTATGACTTTTTATTTAGAATTTCCATTAAATGCATAAAATATTTTTTATTTTAGTGTTTGTATTTCAAGTTGTACTTTATTTGCTATCTCTGAGAGATTCAAGCAGCTTAGTTACCCTTTATTATGGGGTACATAAGATAAATTCTTAAATTTCTTCCAATTTTAAGATTCTATGATTCTTACTCAGAGTAGTTTTTCTCTTGTGAGTAACTGTAATAAAATTCTCCATGAGAGATACAGAGAGGATGATAAGCAAGGTCTTCTGCTCTTACAATTGTAAGGGGTCTGGGAAAAACTATTATGAGAAACAAATCACCAAACTTTGTATTTCAACTCCTTCGCAGCAATTAAAACACCCAAACCTCGTGAACCTCATTGAAGTGTTCAGGAGAAAAAGGAAAATGCATTTAGTTTTCGAATACTGTGATCATACACTACTAAATGAGCTGGAAAGAAACCCAAATGGGTAAGTAATCTAGAAACTGAAGTTCTGTCTGGCCGGTTCTCAGTTTCATTATATGTGGGATTAACTCTGGCAAATTCAAATCTGAGCCCCTTTCTACCCGGATGCATCTGCTGGCCCCCCATCTCCAACCTCAGGTTGTGCTCAAAGGGCAAACAAACATTGACCTACAATAAATATAATACATAGTACTTAATAGTAAAATGTGAAACCCTGGATATTTTTACCACCTCTGAGATTCCTCCTGGGTGAGATTGCTTCCCTCCTTTGAATACCCATGGAATTTTATTGTCATCCCTGTTATGGTACTTGGTACCTACTACCTTATATATTTTCTGTGCATTCTGTCTTCCCAGACTGTAAGGTTTTGGAGTGTAGAATTTGTGTCTAATTCATCTTAGTAGCTTAGTGCCCTGCATTCTTTCATTGATTCACTTCAGAAATCTTACTGAACACCTGCTGGTGCAGAGACTAGAAAGATATAAAGGCACAATCCTGCCCTCAAGAAGGTTAAAATCTAAAGAAGAGACAGATACTCAAAGTAGCAATTACAATTGACAGTGTAGCAATGACAAATGATGATTTAGACTGGGTTACTGTTGGTGCACAGGATACACAGGAGAAGCAGCTCCAACATCTGTTGGTCCTGGGGAATCAGGGAAGCTTCTGGAGAGGAGGAAGCATTTGGGCTGAGACTTTGAAAAGGGGAAGAGTTGGCCAAGTGGACAATCTTGGAGGAATGCACAGATGCAAGATAGAACAGGGCATAGTCAAGCAGCTCTTTTGTTCTCTATGTGTTTAGCAACCACAAGGCTTTCTGAACTACCCTACTTTCCACTCTGAGTTTTTCAAGTGCATTTAGCAGTGCCAGTGTATACAGCGTGCTTTTGGTCAGCCCTGAGATGTGGCTCTACACAGCGAAATGCAAATAGGAACAATGCAGAATATGCCACTCTTTTACGAAATCCTGGGTACTTGATTAATTTTGGTTCATTAATTTAATTAACAGTGATTAACTTAAAATTCATCTACTTTCACTCCCTCCCTAAAACCTACTTAAATCGCAGCCAACGGAGTATTAAACCCGGTAAATAGCACACAGAGCTAAACAACCAGGCAGCATACATACCAAGCCTATTTGACCTTTGCTCATTAGGGCAAATTCACAATTTGAAGAAATAACTGATTTGTGAATATGAGATGATCGATGTAGTGGACATGTGGAATGAAATGTGGGATGGTGAGATAATCAAGAGACTTGAGGGCTAAACTATATCATAAAGAAGAGCTGATTTAACACCGGAGTAAGGTGTGAAAGTGTACTGCTTCCCCTGCCAAACGAAGGCTCCTGTGCCCTCTGCTTTTTGAGTAGAGGGAAAAGCACTTGTTAGATCAACAGCTGCATACTAAATGCCGAGACAGTGTTGGATTTGCTCCAGCTAGGAAACTCCATGTGTGTAAAGCAACTGCAGTTGGTTTCATCTGATTACATTTGAAATACTCCCATTCTCTAAGATCCTTTTCTGTTCAAAATAGGTACCATAGGTAAGTTATTGGCAACGTGATAGGAATTACCACCCTACCCAATAGGAAGGATTTCCTTTCGCTATCATTGCTCTGTACATAATGGAATAATCCTGCCTTCAAGAAGCTTTAAATCTAATGAAGACTCAGATATAAAGGAACAGTTGGAAATGACTATCATGCTGTTATTATATGGGTCTGTAAAACCACAGCTATCCACTCCTGGCTGGCGACAGCACATCATTACATCTGTAAATCTGTATTTCAATTTTTTCTTTTAATTCAGCCTTACTGAGGAATAATTGACATATAAAAGGCTTGAATTTCCTCTCAGCTAACTGATTGTAGAAAATTTCCCATCAGACTGCTGGTGTGGGTAGGTGGAGGGATGGCAGTGCATCGTGAGCAGTGAGAAATACTTTAGTTAGGGGAGCACCGGCTTCACGTCCTGGATGCTGAGGCAGGGAGAGTCTTCCTTTGAAATGGCTTCCTGACTTACTGGAGATGATGAGATCCCAGGGTGACAGAGGCCAAGTAGTACTGCTTCACTGTCTTCACACACAGAGCCAGAGGGATAATCAGAATGGTTTGATCTGACTATGGATTCTCCCGCACCACGATAGATGGGCACATAACTGTGGTTCTGTTTGTTCTGTATAAACTAGTGACTCTCAGTTAATCAACAGAAATTAATTAACCTCAGATAAATTCAGTCTGTGTTGTCATTTAGCACCCTGCAGGATTATTCTCAGTGTGTGATTTTTCAGTCATCTCATGGTTGTCCCAGTGGTCAATGGAGCGAGCCTTACAGATAAAAAAATAAGGGCAAACATTGAAAATTCTGGTGTCCTAACTGTGCCTTGAACCAAAATAGTAAAAGCCCTATAGCTATCCTTTTCTCAATTGATTTTTTCCAGTGAAATGAAAAATGGCCAGCCCACCTCACTTTTCTTTTATGACTTTCCCGTATGTTCCCATGTTGTTTGATCACACCCAGTCCAGCAAAGCCTTGTCTTGAATGGGCACTTTATTCCAGATGACCGCAGGTGATTATGCAAATAACGGGTTCATCGCTGGACGCCCATTTCCCAGTGTTCTAGCCGCTAATGGTAATCACATCCCCCTTCAGAACCAACTACGTCAGACAGCCTAGATTCCCAAGGCCTTGATTTTGTTTCCCAGACCCACTCCTGGCATCACAGTCTGAACTAATTAGGATTCAACAACAGAGTCCACTCTAGCTAGTTGAAGCAAAAAGGGGTTTATTGCAGGGTATTATTATGTACAACTTCTGAGAGTGCCGGAGAAAGAAGCTTAGTTGAGCACCTGTTAGGTACCAGTTACTGTTCCAGGCCCCAGAGCTACAATAATGGACAAGATAAAAATCCTTGCAGAGTTACAAGCCTTTGAAGAACAATAAAGCTCACTGAGAAATTCGAGAATGCCTAGGGAAGAGAGTAGGAGGATGAATAAACACAAAGCTTTGGAGGTTTAGACAAGCCTGGCCTGTTCAGGGAATAGCAGACGCTAATGGGGCTCAGGAGGAGGTGGAAACGTGGTAGGAGATAAAGGCGGGACGGGGGGAGGGCACTTATAATAGACATGAAATCATTAGGAGGCTGGGAGGCCAAAATAAAGGTTGGGTTATTGTAGGATAGCAAGGACCGATTCGCCTTGGGTACCCATAATGAAATCATGTTCTCCGTATCGAGTTATGTAACAAACTAAAACAGAGATAATGAGCTCTGACATCAGAGCCAGGATTCCCTGAGTGGCTAAGGGAGCAGCCTCTGAGCAATCCAGCCTGAATCCCTGACCCTGCGACCCTTCCTCACCCCTTCAGGGTTGATCCAGGATATCTGGTTTTTGCTTTTAGGCCTTCACTATTACTGTCAGTATTTCTGCACTCACCCAAAGTATACTATTTAAACATCGAGTATCAGGTGACTTCTGCAGGTTTTATCCATGCCAGAATGCCTTGGGAAATGCTGGCTGTGGCTGGATCGTGTCTCAGGGCTCCGTCTTTCTGGAATGAGCACTCTGTGATTCTGTATTCTCTTTGATAACCATCTTCTCTTTGTGAGATCAGTGGCATTTATTTGCAGCTGTTATTTGTACGTATGTTGTTTTTCCTAAGATGGAATCTCTTCTTGGAATCGAGCTCACAGGATTCTCATTTGAGCAGAGCCGGTGACACTTCCCGTGATACGCCGCTAAACACCCCTCTTCCACAGCAATAGCTGGGGAGTTCCTTATGACATGACTTCATGCCCAGTTCCACGATATTAGCGCTGGTAACCAGGGTTCTGCCGGTTTCTGAACCCTCGCCCGTACCTGGTTTCCCAGACCCAGCCCTTCATCCCCAGCCCCTGGGGTCTTTAGACCCGCCCAGCGCTCCATCTCTACACGAGTAGGGCATGTGTTACTCTTGCCAGTCCCTCCCAGGATCTGAAATCCATTTTCCTCCCTCCGCCACCGCCACCCTAATCTAAGTCACCAGATCTCACCTGGAGTATTAATATTAGCTGTCTAATTAACCTCCTGGTATCCACTTTGCCCCCAAAGATCCATTCTGTCTGTTTTGTCACTTGCCTTCTTGAGTCCTTTCAATGACTTCCTTTTGAACTTAGAGTGAAATGCAAATTCCTCGCCAAGGCTGAGGAGGCCCTCGGTGGTTTGGGCCCCACCAGCCCACCAGCTTCCCTGGCATCTTAGCCGCACCGGCCGCCTGGTTGTTTTCCCCACACTCTCCACTCTTTCTCACCTCCGGGCCTCTCCCTGCTCCTTCAAGGCTGTTTTTATTCCTGTACTGGGTCTCAGTCCCCTATACCGGCCTCATCAGATCTCAGACCGTCACCGCCTGAGCCATGGTGATGTCAAAACCCAGACTCTTTGGGGACAGATTTCTCAGTCAACTGGTGAGGTATTTTTCCATTTCCCCACCTCAGAAAACTGAAGGCACAGATAACTTGCCCAAGGCGATGGGACCAGGAGGCAGCACGGCTGGGGTCGGACTGTGTCTCGTCTGCGCAAATGGCTGTACCGTTCTTTCCGCCTCATTATAAAATGTAAGGTGTTGTCTCAGGTTTGGCTCTGCTCTGCGTGAAGGGAGGAGGATAAATCTATATCAGAATTCAGTGTAGGAAATAGAAATCACTGTAGATATTTCAAGCGGAAAGCGATTTAACACTGAGAATTAGGTGATTTCACAATATTGAGAGGAAAGGCTGAAGGGGGGGGCATGCCACCGTCATTGTGAGCTGAGATGAGGAAACTGCTCTGAGCAAAACTGCAGCCCACGTGTTGTTGTGCCTGGCGTGTACCCCAGCCTCCCGGGCCTGGTCACTAGTGCCACACCTGAACCACAGTCACAGAGGCCATCCCACTGCTCTGCATGACCAGCTGCATCTGTGCAATGATGAGTTCAGTTTTTAAAGAGTGATCTAAACACATGATATAAATATCCAGTTACGGCTGCCGTCACCAGGGGAGAATCCCGGGCTATCCTGCTGGAGAGGCCACGTGGAGGGGCGCCGAGGCTCCCCGGCTGGTAGCCCGGACACGCGAGTGAGGCCTCCCTGCAGCCTCGTGAGTGCCTGCAGGAGACTGCACAGCTGAGCCCAGGCTGTTAAACAAAATACAAAATCCCGTGAAGGAAATACATGGAGCCCAGGCCGCAAGTTATGTCCCATGGGCCTTCTCTCTGCAAATCCCTGATCTCAAGAGGCCGGTTCTTGCTAATCTGGCTGCCTCCCAGCTGCCTCTCAGAGCCCTTCTCATCCCTCCACCTCCACCCCAGGCAAAAACCCCGTTGGCTTTTATTGTCCAACGCCCCCCAAATAAAAACCTCCTGCCACTCCACCCCCAAAAATCCAAATATGATAAAATATTAAAACTGAGTGATGGGTGTGTTTGGAATATTAGATAATTTTATGTCTTTTAATCAAAAAATTCTTACAGGAGATATTCTGTAAAAAAAAAAACAAAACAAAAAAAAAACTCTTGTTCTTCAGATTTTTTTAAATAGTAAACCACAGCCTCATCTCCATGAACAGGGTTGAAAAGGAAGCAACACACTAGGAAAAACAGTTGCAGCCACATGCAGACGCTGATACACACCGAGTCCTCTTAAATCAATCTGGAGAAGAGTAAATAGGCCCATCAGAAAGCAGTACAGGCCATGAACAGGGAGCACACAAAAGGAGACATTCAATGTTCATCAGTGTGAAAATTAAAATCATGAATGAAATGAAATGAATGAAACCCAAAACAAGTTATCTTTCTATTTTAACCACAGATTGGCAAACGTAACACTGGCAAAACTGTCTTGTTGGCAAGACAGCGAGGAGATAGGGTCTCGGACGCACAGGTGTTTGGCGGGGTGTGCGTGGGCATGACGTCCCTCAGAGAGGGTAGTTTTTGGCAGACGTGGCTGTGAAGGCATCAGCATGGGACAGTGGTCTGAGCAATGAAAAGACAGCAACAGAAAAGTTAAAGGGAATGTAATTGCTACAGTTGCTAGAAATGGATACACAAAGTAGACTAAGTACTCCCAGACAGACACTAGTTGCCCAGAACCCCTATTCCCCAGTGGAAGATCCTTTGCGATGTTTTTCACACGGCGCGAGGAATCTGCAGGGGTGAGAAGCTTCCAGCCTCGCACTCTCATGGGCCCCTCACTCTCCCCGGCCTCCCCGGCTGTGTACCTGCCTGCTTACAGGCATCTGTAACTGTGCTAAAACAGCTCCTGCACACACTTGAGTGTTAACTGCCAACAAGAATTGGATGAATTGAAGATCAGTCTACAAGTATGTCTCTTTTCCTGCAAGGTCTCAAGTCTACCTGAAGTTCATACCTGCAGGATCAAAATACAACATGTGCCTACCTCTGGTGCCAGAAATCCCACTTCTAGAACTTCCTTTAAAAAGATAATTGCACAACTAATACAGGAAAATGGGATGTGAGAGGATGGCCATGTGTCAGGTCTCAGTTGAGTCCCTGGGACGTGCCCCCATCAAGTGAGGGTCCTTGGCTTCATGCAGGAAATATAATTCAAGAGGGAGACACAGTTCATTAAAAGTAGATTTATTCAGAGAGATGTACTGTCCATAGACAGAGGGCAGGCCATCTCAGAAGTCAGGAGAAAGGCCATGAGGTGAGGGGTTGGGTGTTGAGTTTAAAGTGAAAGTAGATACACACTCCACAGACAGAGTGCAGGCCGTCTCCCGAGGTGACGGAGCGGGAGGCTGCGAGGTGTCGTGTTGCTAGTGTTTCTGGTCTCGGTAGCTTACAAGTGGGAGGAGTATTCCAGCTACTTTGGGGAAGGGGCTGGGATTGCCAGGAATTGGGCCACCTCCCTCTTTCTGACCTTCTATAGTTAGCCTCAGAAGTGTCGTGGCTCCTGCGGGCGTGTCATTCACCATGCTCATATATTACAGTGAGCATATAATGAAGCTCAGGGTCTACTGGAAGTCAAGTCTCCCGCCGTCTTGGGCCTCAAGGTCCGCTGGGAGTTGAATTTTCTGCCATCTTGGTCCTCACTGCTGTGTCATTCCTTTAATGGCTGTGCCCTATCCCCTTCCGTCCTGTCTCACAACTTCCACAAGTTAGATGATTAGATATTTGATGAAGCATCGTTTCTAGAAGTGAAAATTGGGTCAATCTAATTGCTTATCCTTGGGGACTAAGTAAATTATGATACATCCATGTCATAAATCCTTGGCCACTGGAATATACGTATACATGTTAGTATCTGTACCTCAGGGCATAGGATGTTTCTGAAAGAGGCTGGGGAAGGTTGCCAAGGGTGAAATGGGTGGCTAAGCAGGTGTGAGAGAGAATTCTTCATGGATATTCTTTTAGCTGCAGAAACTTTGAGCCATATGAATGCATTTAATTTAAAGTTAAAGGTAAATGCAGAGAGAGGGAGAGAACCTGAGATTGCTCAGGGGGCAGCCACTGTAAGTTACAGCAGCTATTTTAGGGTAGCAAGATTGATTCAACACTTTTCATTCCTTGTCTATATTGTTTGAGTTTTCATGATAAGCACGTATAATTTTGACAGATGTAAAAACTTCAGATTACACAGGAAAATTATACAACTATAATGAAAAAATAGTAAATCGATTTTCACTAAAACGTTTCAAAATTTTTTTCCAAGACCCCCTTTGCACTGCACTCGCTGACCATGACAAGCCCTGCCCATTCAATTTCTATTCCCAGTTCTGCTCCTGAAACCCTATCCTGAGAGGTTTCATTTCCTTTTCTATTTTTTCCCCAGAGTTGCTGATGGAGTGATCAAAAGTGTTTTATGGCAAACACTTCAAGCTCTTAATTTCTGCCATAAACATAATGTAAGTAACATTTTCTGATTTATTTGCTGATTTTTTTCACCATGCATGACTCTTTTCCTGTAAATAGCTCAGGGGTCTGTTGGAGAAGCTAATGATAGAGGGAAAGTTAGAACCAGGAGAGCAAAACAAAACAAAGTTACAGAATATGACGGAAGGTCATGCATTATTCATGGCCCCTTTCCAATTTCTGTAAGAATCAAATTACTCATTCCTTATGAATTAAAAGTTTGTATAAACTTAATGTTTCCTTTTGCTGCAGTGCTAATGATGCCTATGATTATTTTTAAATTGGGTTAAAATAAGTTTTCAGGGTATCAGTAGTGTATCTCATCATAGCACTCGATTTTGTTTTGTTTTCATGTCCCTTAAGTCTTTTATTCTATAACAGTTCTCCTTCCCCTACCTTTTTTCCCCCATCATTAATTGTTTTAGAGCCATGGTTGTCAAACTTGAGCATGCATCAGAATCACCTGGAGGTCTAGTTAAGACAGTTTGCTGGGCCCACCCCTGAGTTTCTGATTCCAGAGTCCTGAATGGGGCCTGAGAATCTGCATTGCTAGCATTTGCCCAGTTGAGAGTGAAGCCGCTGGCCCTAGAACCACGCTGTGACTGCTACTGTGGTACAGAAGTCACTTTGGCCGATTGCTTCCTAGTATTTCTTAAACTTGTTCTTTCACCCGTATTTACTGTCAACTGGTATTTCTCTCCAGAGGCTTGATCATACCCGGGTTCGGTTTTTTCAGACAGGAATGCTTCATGTGCACTTCTTGTTGCCTCCACATCACGAGGCATGAAATCTCTAGCTGCTTTCCTGCTATGATACTCTCAGAGTAGTGGGTTCAGGGGGTGCTCATTTGACCCTCTCCATTATCACCTTCCCTGCCGATCGTTTACTTGATGGTTTTAGCATTCATAGACGATTATGACCTCTATCCAGTATTTTATTAGGGTTAAAAGGTGGTGATTTTCTAATTCTGTTATCCCTTCTGCATTTATTAATTGGAACTCTGTGAAGAAGAACTTACCATCATGGACTCTGGCTACTATAAAATACAGTCAGATCAATAGGTGACTATTCCTTTTATTTGTCAGTGCTCAGAGTGACGAGCTGGTGTCCCAGCATCCGCCAAGAGTGAGCAGGGTTTGAGGGAGCTGTCGGACACCGCCATAAACTTACGGATCTTATGAACTTGATGTGTTTCAATCCTTTGCAATCATTGTTCTCTCTGATGTTCAAATTGTCCCATCTCAGGCCGGTAGAAGCTTCTTTAAATTGGCTCCTGGGTGCTTTTGCTATGATAGTTTTTAAAAAAATAACTCTAGACCTTTTGAGTTGGTGCCTACACAAAGGCACCGTTGAAGGAAAGATACAGACTACCATATGGTCAATTCTGATGCCAGCAGAACATCTATCAGAGTAGTCTGGGATTGCTGAAAAATACTGTAAGATCATGGAAGTAAATTTCAATACTTAGGGAAAGCTCCCTTTGGTTTTAAGAAGGTCAGTGAATTTTGTTGTTGTTGTTAGGATAAGTCAGCAGCTTTTATTTTCTGTTGATAGAGGATAGAGAATATTGTTCACGAGATACATAAACCTGTTTTTCATGATGCAAATTGTACTTTCAAATAATTGCTGAAGATGACCCTGAATTGAAACCACATCTCTGTTGATTTCCACCACGCTGTGAGAGGTATTCAAGTTCACCTAAGTTTGCTGCTGGATTTGTGGGTCGTTACAATGACTTTTTAAAAATTCTGTTTACCATGAGTGTTTGTACCTTATCCCTATATAGTCAGACACTTTCCCATGTACTCGATTGTAAGCTTGCATGCAATGTCTGTGGCAGATTTATCTTTGTATTTCTTTAATGCCTAGCATGGATCTTTTTATATAAAAGGTGCTCAGGAAATATTTATTGAGTAACTGGATGAATGAATGAGTCAATCAACCAACATACCTCCCTGACTATGACTTACCGTTTCCACTGGACCTAAACATTATTGTAGCTCAATGCAACCACCACCACTTCTCTGCTTGGAACAACACATTCTGTACCTTAAGCTTTAGAATATTAAAAACCTCCAATTTATAATCTATGACCTTTATTAATAATGGATAATTTTTTGGACAAACGTTATTCCTCCAAAATGGAAATCACTTCTGAACTCTGGGTATCCCATTTTCTTACGTTATCTATGGTAAGCCTTTTTTTTTCAATCTACTAGCTAAAATGCATGCAAAGGGAAAAAAATCTAGACCATAGATAAGCTGTTACAATACTACATCTAAAACCCTTATACTCTCCTTATTTTTAAAGGAAGCGTCCTGATACTCTCAAGGACTAGGAAAGGCAGTGTGACCCTACTGTGTGGCCGAAGATTCAGAGCTTTGCACCTGTGGAGGCCATGACTGCCCTTTTAGCTCCAGAGTGGTGATCCTAACCCAGAAAGGAAGGTTAAAGTAGTAAGAGGTTAAGGCCTTGCTACTCAAAGTGTGGTTCATAGAGACCATCTGAGAGCTCATTAGAAATGCAGAATCTCGGGCCCATTCCAGGTCGACTGAACAGGATCTTCAAGTGATTCATGTGCACGTTAAATTTTGAGAAGCACTGGACTTAAGAAAATACTGACTCTATTCTTTTTCACCCTATAATGTGGCTAGAATGAGATAACGGAAGTGACCATTCAGCATCATTTTGAGCTCATGGATTTTCATATATTTGGTGTATTGATTAGACAGAAAGAACTTCATGTCAAAATGATAAAACTACAGTGGCTTCCAAGATACAGACGATGTGTCTGGCCATGCAACCATTGTCATCTTGTTGATGGTTCTGGTTGTCAAAAAAGAGATTTCCTTCCCTTCTCGTTGCTGTGTGAGTATCCATCCATAAGGCTCAAAGGACAGCCTTCTCAGGCGTTCGGTCAGGCTGTGTAAAGAAGCAGCTTCTGGTGGGGAAGTTTCCGGAGATGATTCTTAAAATTAAAGGATGGGCACCTCTTCTTGCTGGCTTGTAAAATTATAAAAATGAGATTGTACACCAGCCCCAATGACCCAACTTGAGCATTGTTTGCTGAAAGCTGTGCTTGAAACCCAAATTTATTAAAATGTTTCAGTTACCTTGACTTGCAGGTTCCCTGTTCTTTGGTGGAAAATAAGCTGATTGCAGGAGGCACTGCAGAGTTTGCACTGACTGCAGCTTTGCAGTGGAGAAAGTGAAGCCTGTGTGTCTGAGCATCGTCTGTTCTCCATGCTCTGTTTCTTACTTCCCCAGTGATTTTTACTCTCTTTTTCTTTTTTCAGTACTCCATCCATCCGTCTTTATCAGTAGCTCTCCTACCTGCAGCTACACGAATAATTTTTTCTATTTCTATAGGACTTCATTTGCCTTTGTATGTTTTGGTTGGAAAGTAAGTAGCTGTGAGTTTCCCATGGATTTGCGCACTTAAATAGGTCAGTAGACGGGTATCAGTGTAAGTCCATTTGCTTGGTAGTCGCCACACACAGTCCAGGAGTTTTAGGATTTGACGCAGACTCATCTGAGGGTTATAACCTTCCCTTATTCAGTCAGTATCACAGGTGAGTCTAACTCAGAGTGTCAATCCAGTTTTCATCAATGTGTTGCCTAAAAGGTAGGATCAAAACTGTGTTGGTTTATATTACAACAGTGTATTTTTTAAAATTAATATCTAGGGCCTTGGGCCTCTGAAGAGGCCTAAAAAGCTTTCTTCTAACTGCCGGTTGTGCAAATTACGAAACAGTGGCAGTAATGAGAGTAAATACAAAGAAGCTTCTAGTACCAGTGCCATTTCTGTGACCCAAAATGAATGTAGGGTTTAACATGTTCTCTTCCTAGATAGCTATTATAGAAACAAAGAAAAAAAAGATTTCAAAACTGTCAGTTTGATGGGGACCCTTAAAGGGACTGACGCCAAAGCAGAGAGGTGAGGCACAAGGAACTGGTGGTTGTGCTACTTAATCCAGAGACTGTCAGTGGCCACCTGCAATCACAGGGTTGCTTCAAGGATGAATTAATTCCTGTGAAAGTGGTGTGAAAGGTGCAGAGCTCCCTGTGAGGACTGAGCTGTAGGAGAGCAACAGCCTTTTCATCTGTTTGCTTGTTGGGAGGATAAAGTGGAAAGCTGACGTTCTGAAGACTAGGGCCCGGGTTGCTTTCTCCCAGGGCATCGCAGCATGGAAGAGCTGCTCGTGGAGTAACAGTGGTGGGGTGCACCCAGCCCGCCTCCATCCACACCCCCAGCTTGGCTCTCTCACGTCCAGCTGGCAGCATCTGCCTCACTCAGGGTGGCAGGATGATGCAGGGAGCCGTAAGGTCTCTCAGCACAGGAGACTCAGGTGAGAATGCCTCCCAGCGGTGACCTGCTCTCCCAGGAGCGACTCCAGCAGCATCGTGCGCTCACGTCTCAAGAGAGCTCTTAACCATCCCGGATCGGCTCCCTTTGGAGGGTCCTCATCTGCGGAGGCTGAAGGCTTCGGTATCTCTTGTTAAGAGGTGACCACACATGCCGGCTTACCTGGGTTGGTTGTGGTCTGTTGTCCTGGCGTAGTAATTGATAGCGCTCAACTATCACACATCCTGACTGGATGATAAATAAGATGGTCACTCTAATGAATTTGCTTTTGGTTGTCACCAGAATGTTTTTCCAGTATCTCAAATCTGCAGTACTCACTCACGCAGCCTGAATCATGATTCTTGGGTGGCAGCAGTTCGGTTAGAGGCACACTGAGGGTGATCTCATTCAGAGTTTTACCTCTTACTATTTAAGTGGGGCCTAGTAAAAAGTGGAAGAAATGATTATATAATTCTCCCTTCTCAAGAGAAAAATTCCTATCCAATAATTATTTTAATTTCTTCCCTAAAGGAGTAACTGTTTTTCCTTTTGGTATGACAAGATTTTCAAGAGAAAAATGGCCAATTTAAGTTTTTTGAAAAGTGAAGGAAAGCTGTATTTACATTTATGTCTATCACAGGCTGTGTTTAAACTAATCATTAATGTTTATTATGCTTTGTTGTTCTGGTGGCTCAGGGAAATAATCAAATATATTCTTACAGTGTATTCACAGAGATGTGAAACCTGAAAATATTCTAATAACTAAGAAAGGAATAATCAAGATCTGTGACTTTGGGTTTGCACGAATTCTGAGTAAGTAGCAACTTTTTTTACTAACTCATCCAATTCAGATGATTATGAAATGATACAGTTTAAATTCTCGCTTTAGAAATTGAATGTATGCTAATTGTTATATTGTTATTATTCAAAAAGGAAAATGTCCCTTTAACCTTTTAGCCAGTACATTAGTTTCCACTTCAACTGCATCCAATCAACTACAGTTTATTAGATGTCACATTTGTGTGCTTTGCCCTGAAGGAAAGGAAAAGAAATACAAGATGCATTTCTGGTCTTCATGCACTTATAAGCCAAAGTAAAAGAAACAGAAGAATAATACAAGACGATTGGCAGTAAAGTACTAAAGTGAAGGTGCTGATAGTTCCCTCGAGGGAGAGATTAATATGGTCTAGAGTGGTGGGGAAAAGCCTCATGGAGCTGGTGAGACCAGGAGAGTGAACTGAAAACTGCAGAGACGGTTCAGAGACAGGGCTGAGAAAAAAGAAGTCATCCCAGACAGGGAGGAACCAAAGGGAAAGGGGGACAAATAATGATTTCTCCCTGAATCTGGAACTGTGCCACGGGCAAAAACATGCATTAACAACACATACATTGCATGGCGGGTGTGCACATAATCACAGGTGACTTGACATTGCATTTGGAGCTGGTTTACATCAAGTTACACTCCAGAAATTCTCGTTACCTCCCCCTTCCTACCCATCTGTGTTTGGGACTATATAGATGTTAACTAGCTAAGGTACCTTTGAAAGCTGAATTATTTTTAACTGAAGTGTAGTTGATTTACAATACTATATTAGTTTCAGGTACACAGCATAGTAATTCAGCATTTTTGCAGATTATACTCCATTTTAGGTTATTACAAGATAATGGGTATAATTCCCTGGGCTGTGCAGTGAATCCTTGTTGCTTATCTATTTTATATATAGCACAGAAGGTGAATTTATTATCTGATTGCGCAGTGTAACTGTTTACTCGATTAGTGCCGCAGTACATTAACTGTTAGGAGTATCATGGCTTCTGAATTATTGACACTTGTCTGAATGCCTGACGTGCCCTTGGGAGTAGTTCCTCCGATGGGAGACTGTGACCTCCTGACCTGATCGATGCATTTGCAGTTCCAGGAGATGCCTACACTGACTATGTCGCTACAAGGTGGTACCGAGCTCCTGAACTTCTTGTGGGAGATACTCAGTATGGTTCTTCCGTCGACATTTGGGCTACAGGTTGCGTTTTTGCAGAGCTCCTGATGGGCCAGCCACTCTGGCCTGGAAAATCAGATGTGGACCAGCTTTATCTGATAATCAGAACACTGGGTAAAAGTTGCATTTTGTGGCTTACAGGGTTGCCAAATTTTTCTAGTAATAGTATGTCATTATAATGAACAGTAAGAGCTTTCTTGCGTCTCAGGTGCTACCCCGGGTGGTGGTTCTGGGCTGTAGCCGAAGCCCAACCCTCTTCTCACTATGTAGAGCCCTGACTCCTCTCAGTGAGGAGTTTTCAGGTGCCTTTCCAGGTCGAGTCACTTAGCCGTGGGCTAAATTAAACTCTACATTCACTCTCTGCATCAGGCTAGGCGAGGGCTAAGGTTGAGTCAGCTGCATAGCGCTTACTCTAAAGATATTTAATCAAATGCAGCTCCTGTCCACTATGAAAGAGGGCCCCCACCTCTAGAGCAGGGATCAGCCAGCTTTTTCTGCAAAGGGCTAAATGGTAGATATTTTAGGTTTTGCAGGCAGTACAGCCTCTGTTGCAACTCAACTCTGCTTCTTTGTACTTTACAAATTATAAGAATTGACAGATTATACTTTCACACACACCATCTCTTTCAGTCTTAAGAAAAGCGCATTAAGGACATTATAGCATTTTTCATTGTGCCGATTTTACAGATGAGGAAACTAAGGCTCTGGGAGCTTCCATGAGTACCTAAAGTCATACAACCAGTTAAGTGCAGAATAAGAATAAACTCAAAGTGTCTCTCTTGAGCTTTCATCACGTGTCAGCATCCTGGGCAGTTGTCCACTTTCACCCAGTTGGGGGAGAACGTAACCCAAAGATCAGCAGCAGCTTTACACCCGCAGCACGAATGGACACAAAGCGATCATCCACCCACAGGAGGAGTGTTTATTAATTCTTCCTCTTGCCTCTCCTGGTAGCCTGGCTGCTGGGCAAGGGAGCTACTGCTGTCTGGTGTGATGCAATTCCCTGTTTTGTTCTAACATATTTTTCTGGAGAATCCTGTGGCATGAAAAACGTGGGGTGGGGTACCACTGCAGGCCACACCTGAAGCTTACATCGTTTAATTGGCTTCCTACGGGGATGGTGGAAATTCACATTAGGCAGATAGTAGACGGCCCTGAGTTTGAATCCTGGGTCTGTCACGTTATGATCGTGTGACTTTAGACAGGTCATTAAATCTCTGAGCCTCATTCTCTCACTGGGACAGTGGAGATGAAAAACAGCAGCTATTGTGAGATGGTTAGGAGATTAAGTGAGACCCTGTGGGTGAAGCCCTCCGCACCACTTCCTCACCCCCTCTTTTGGTGGTGGCTGAATGGCAGACCAAGCCACATGTGGCAAAGAGGGCTCTTTGGGAACACTGATCTGACCTGAGAAGGCTTTTTTTTTTTGCAACGACCTGTTCCTCCCAGATCTGGAGGGAATGAGCAGGCTCAGTATTTCTCTCACATCTGGGCTTCAGAAGTTAATCATTTAAGGGCTGTGATATTTTTACCAAATTTATCATGAGCTATGTGGTTTGTGCTTTACAGGGAAACTAATCCCAAGACATCAATCCATCTTTAAAAGCAACCAGTTTTTCCATGGCATCAGCATTCCTGAACCAGAAGACATGGTAAGCTGCTCGATGCTGGATGTTTTGTTGTGTGTGTTGCTCCTTTCTTTAAGGGGCAGTTGTTTCTCTTTTAATATTTGTGCTTTTGGCTCCTGTTTCCCTTGTGACACACTGACACGGGTCAGAGAAACTATATAAAAACTGCATAAAATGAAGCAGGAGAATGCTTTAAAAGTTTACTTGCCCTATCTGTTCAAAGACCCATTTTAAATTTAAAGTGAGAGTATACTTAGTTCCTGCATAAATACCTTGATCCTTTGAGTCAAAACACTCAGGTGTCTTCCCCTGAAATAGTTATGAAATAATAATTTTCTCATAAACAGTAGTTACCATAGTCTATTTTGAAGGAAATGCATTCTCTCTTTTCTTTTTTACATTCTGTATTTTTTTTCAGCTTCTGAAACAAAGTTCAAATCAACAAAAGCCGTTTCTTCACAACATGTATTTTCACTCTGAAGGTTATTCCACAAAATGATCCTCATTGTATCCTAATCAAAGCTTCAGACCCCAGTGATCACCTCGACACTCTTGCCTTTCTTTGGGAATCTGTCAGTGGCCATTTGACCCTCTTACGCTCTGTAGTCATTGATTTCCTGTCTGTTTCACCTCAGTTCGGGCTATGATCTTTAAACCCCATGGTCTAGATTCTGCCTACAGAGCTGTCAGGAAAGGTGCGTGCCCAGCTCAGGCTGTGCTAGAGACAAGAGCAGTGCAGGGATGGGGAAAGTCTGTGAGGCCACGACGTGATTTACGGCATATGTGATCAGTCGGGTTCAAAAGGTCCCGACTGTCTCTAGACACCCTGTTCATTTAAAATTTATTTCATAGAACACCTTGATTTATATCCTAGACTTTTTAAAATTATATTTGTTAAAGCTTTTAACAGATATTGCAAAAAAAAGGTTAAAAATTGAATGACAAGGCTAGAGGTTGAATTAGAAAAGAATATTTATATAACATGTTTAATTTAAAGACTAAAATACAACCAGATCACACGTACTTGCTGCCTCGTCAGGCTTCCTGCTTTCCATATACTCCTCGATCCCATCCTCTTCCCTCCTTACTATTTTGAATTTTATGTTTATCATTCTGTTGTTTCCTGTAGTGCTCCTCTACGTGCAGTTCACTGTATTTTTATTCATGTCCCAGGCATGCCTGTAAGTAGATATTACAGTACTGATGTAGGATTTCAGAACATGGAAAGAGCACTTACCAAGCATCAATTGCAAGACATTGTGAAACTAAGAAAATAAGTCCAGTTTTTCCCTTTCTCATTACACTATCGTGTAAAAGTATGATTTTAAAAATCTTTCAGAGGAATTAGCTAACTCACTAGGGGCTCTTTCACCAAAATGTTCTTAATCCTAATATAGTCAAAATATACATTACTTTGATGTTATGTAACACTGAAATACTTTGGGTTTTTTTTAGGAAACTCTTGAAGAAAAGTTCTCAGATGCTCATCCTGTGGCTTTGAATTTCATGAAGGTACCTAAGAATCAATTATGACCATTACTGACTGCAAATCATAATGACTGAAGCGGGCAACTCTGGGAGGGGTGGACAGTAGGACAAATATTGCCAAGGTAGAATGTAGTCATTGAAACTGTTAAGGAACTGTAAAATAATTACAGTTAAAGGGACATCTGTGGTTTAAGCAGTAATCTTCCTGACATATCCATTAAAATTAGGAGAAGATGAAAGAGTATAATTAGGGTTTGCTGTGATGAACACCATACCTCTTTTGCATTCCTTAGGAAATTTGACTGATAAGTCAGTATATTCAGACTATGGAAATCTATGAGGATGAATGAACTCCTTCTTAAATTTGAAGGTCAAGAACTGTGCTGTCCAATATGGTAGCCACTGGCTACATGTTACCAATGAGCACTTGAAATAAGACTAATTAGAATCGAGATGTACTAGATTTCTATGATAATTACTTTAAAAGGATACAAAGTATTTCATTAATTTTTTTAAATATTACATGTTGAACTGATAACATTTTAGATACACTGCGTTAAATAAAATGTTGAACTCATTTAAAAAATTAGAAGATCAGGCAAAATCAGAGCCATGCAGACACCAGAGATAGCCCCTCTACCAGGGCCAAAAAAGATAGTCAAATAAAGGACAAATTCTAGTAAAAAGCAGAAGAAGCTCATCTGTGACCAGTCTGCCATTCATGTTTGACCAACCGAGGCCATGCTAGAAAGTGTGACTCCTGCATTCAGCATGGCTGCTGAAAGCCTTTAGTGGGATAGCGATGGAGACACTAGTAAGTGTATCTATCTTTAACAACCGATTAAGCTGTATTTATAGCAGTGGCTTCCATGTCATGCATCAGAATGACTGCTCATCAGAATGAGCTTTTTAAAAATACACATTCCAATAAATAACCTAAGATTTACAGAAGCAGAATCTCTATGAATAGAACCTTGGAATTTGTATCTTTAAGTCTCCCCCTAGGTGATTATGATAAGGAGCCCAGTTTGAAAGTTGTCTGATCTAGAGAGTGGAGCCATCTGGATGACCTAGAGTCACCTTTGTAGACCAGCCTTTGTGCTAGTGCTGGTCACTGCCCAGGTGCTATCCAGGGTGCTGGATTCCTTCAGTCTGAGTCCTCCTGCGACTCAGAGCCCAATACCTGTGAGCCCTCAGACTGCCCTCACCACTGCTCCACTGGACCTCATCTGCCTTCTACCTGTCTCGCTGTTCTGCCCTGTCCTAACCCAGCACTCTTCAGACCCTGTCCTGGAAGTCTAATTCTCCAGCCTTGTTCTGGACAGGTTGTTCTGACCCACTTGCAATTTAGCAGGACCCCCAAATGGTGGGGGAGGATATGTCAAGCACTACAAACCCAGTCCATTCTCAGGTGGCTTCTCAAACTTGAGCAGTTGTAGGTGCACCCAGGAGGCTTGTTAAAATGCAGATTGCCAGGCCCCACCCCAGTGCTTTTGATTCAGTAGGTCTGGCATTGGACCAGAGAATTTGCATTTCTAGCAAGTTCCAGGTGATGCTGATGTAGCTGGTCCAGGGACCACATTCTGTAGAGTCCTACAAACGATCTGCTTTGACATGTGATGAAGAGATGTCATTGGTGAAACACACTTGTTCTACGTTTACCCGCTTTGTGACATCCAAATTTCATCAAGTCTTCCCTCAAAAGACTTTGAAGTGCCAAAAAAAAGAGCAATTCTAGTCATTAACAAGTTCTAAGTACTGGTAATATACAGACTTGAGGTTTTTCTAAACTCATATTTACTCTATCAAGTTATTTTTCAGAGTTTTGGGGCACAGTAACAAAATAGGCCCCTCTTTTAATATCTTCTTGGCTCTTCTCTTCTTCCAAAGGACTGTCTGAAGATGAATCCAGATGACAGGTTAACCTGTGCCCAACTCCTAGAGAGCCCCTACTTTGATTCTTTTCGAGAGGACCAAATGAAAAGAAAAGCACGTAATGAAGGAAGAAACAGAAGGCGTCAGCAGGTACCTCCATTCAAAAGTTAAAATGCTGTAAAAAAGATTCTTTTTTCCCTCCTCAACTTTCAAAGCGAGACTAGGTGAACACCAAGACATTTTTCTTTGCACTGGTTAAGTTGTATTTGTTTAGCTAATAAATATTGGTAACTGATGTAATAAAACCATAAAACTGTGAAAATACCCAGATTGTTGCAAAATCTTATTCCAAATACACTTGAATCAAGTTATCGTGCAATTTTTTGTTACACGGATTGGATATTCCCCACCAGGTCATGTACCCAAAACACAGTAGCTTCATACAGTTAAACCCTGATTACAGCAGAACTGAGTTTGAATCCTAGTACCTTTCTGTAGCCTGCAGATGCACAATAAAGGGAATTTGACTCTTCTGTTTCTTGCACCCATGGCTAACCTACATCTGCCTTTCCCAGACTTTCCCTGGAAGCCAAGGATGTGCTCTGGCCAGATACAATGGGATGAATCAAATACTACCCGAGAACCAAATCCTGTCCCAAAATGTGCCAATATTGCAGACTGATATGGTGAATATAAAGGCAAACGTTGATCCTGTAGCTGATTAGGTGACGACCCTTTACTTGCTTTCAGAAAACTTTGAAGTTAGAACATAAACTCCATGGAAGTAGGCTTCTTTGGGGGGTTTTTTTGGGGGGGGGAAATTGGGGTTTTATTTTTTAATGGAGGTACTGGGCATTGAACCCAGGACCATGTGCATGCTAAGCACGCACTGTACCACTGAGTTATACCCTCCTCCTCCCTGGTTTCTTTGGGTTTGTTTTTTTTTCCCCCTCACCTGTATTTCCAGCACCTGAAACAATATGCCACATCAAAGGTACTTAGTAAATTTTATCCAAATAAATAAATAGATGAACATGGCTTATTAATAAGCCAGAATGGTAATTTTCCATTTTTCAGAGACTGACAATCATCACATTTTGCATTGGCTTAATCTTCCTTCCATCTTTTTTTAAAATTATTTATTTATTTATTTTAATTTGGGAGGGAAGGTAATTAGGGTTGCTTATTTATTTATGTTTAGAGGAGGTACTGGGGATTGAACCCAGGACGCTGAGTATGTTAAGCATGTCCTCTACCACTTGAGCTGTACCTTCTCCCCCTCTTCCTTCCATCTTTGAGCTCCTTTTTTGTTCCATTTATCTTAAGGAAGAAAGCGGCCTCTTTCTGCAGTTAAAACAGAAGTTTATTGGGAGAGAAAGATCATACTAATCAATAAGATGAAGTGTTTAGATGATTTCTGTGCATCCAAAATCTTTATCCAAAATAAAAAATCCAAAAATTTTATTACCTAGGCCATTTTACAACTTTGTTAAAGTTGCATGCTTGCAAATCAAGCCTAATGCAGTTTACTTAGCCGAAAAACTAGAGTTGGTTCAAATAAGTCTGAGACAGCAATTGGAAAGACAGTGTAAAAACACTGGTCCCCTCAAAAACAGCTCACCAGCTTCCCCACCTTTGTCCTGGGAGGGTGAAGAGCAGCACTTCCCCATCCTTCCTCTTGGTCCCTGCTTCACTTTCTACCACACTCGCCGCCAGGTGGCTGGAGATGCTGCTCTCCCTCTAAGTCTCCAGTTCACAGCTCTGCCGCCCTTTCCTTAATGCCTTGTAGCCCAGCTGATACAGGTCAGGGAATTTACAGAAGGCCTTCCCAAAGACCCAGGACAACAGAAGGGAAAGAAAAAAAGAGCAGCATGCACATCAATAATCTCGTTTACAAAGACTATGTCATTTTTCTCTGTCCTTAGCCATTTGGCATCCTGTCCACCTGTGTGTGGCTGCCCCGCGAGAGCCTCTACCACAAGCCCACGTCTAAACACCTTCCTCCCCCAGGAGAAGTCCCTCGGGAGCGAGGCCAGGGGAGGGACAGGGATGGCTTTCAAGTTCCGGTTTTCTTTCTGAGCACACAACCTCTCTCATAGGCATTTTACTGTATCAGAAAATAAACTAAATTCAGAAAGGTTTTTTCATACAGGGTGGTTTCACTTTGTAAGTTCAAATTTCTACCGAGAGCTTAGTTCCTAGCTCTGAGTGGGTGACCAACAATTTCCTTAAGACTAAATATTGTTTAAAGTTGATCACAAAGAGGCTTTATATCTTTGCTGTTCTGCCAGTATCCTAAAACTGATATCTAAAATTAAAAATTTGAGATGGGTAAAGTGTAGACTCTTGGAATTATTGTTTAATAGCTGGTGGACATCTATCTATTTTTTAAACACTGACTACTCAGAATTGAGCTTATTGAAATTAATCATAGTACATCTCTGAGAATCCTAGAATAAGTAATAGAAATGAATTTTCAAGTATCAGAGAATCACAATTTTTGGAAAGGTAACCCAGCTTAATTTTCAAATTGATGTTCTTGGACATCTTTGTACCATATGTATCCTTTTTATTTTACCACCTTTAAATCAAGCTGTACCGATAGGAATTGTTTTCAATGTACTTTTTTATTTTTGTCTCATTCTGCTATTAGAATCAACTGTTGCCTCTCATACCAGGAAGCCACAGCTCCCCCACACCTGATGGAAGAAAACAAGTCCTCCAGTTAAAATTTGATCATCTTCCAAACATTTAGGAAAATGCACTTTCAAGTGGAAAGTAATTTAATACGTGCACACTTTTTATACAAGAGAGATAGGGATTCTCAGTGTTTCAAATGCAGATGAGCCATATGAAAATTAAGATGCTTTCTAGAATTGTTTTGCTCTGATCATTACTGATTCCTCTGCCCATGCTTTTTACATGCCAACTTTATCTTTTAGAACATTTTCTTTAAATGTTATACAGTCTGAAACTGCACATATGGAGGAGACATTTTCAATTTTATCAGAGCAGCTCCTCTTGAGGCAATTTGTACTGAGAATCTGTGGGCTTATACTTGGATTTATGAAAAAGGTTTACATATGCCATCTCACTCCAGCTGACCATGTAATGTCTCAGAGCAATATCAAATAGCTTGCCTAGCTGTTGTTTGTGTAAGGAACCTCATTATGTTTCTGCATTTTAATTTACTCTCATTGTAACCAGGCCTGTTGAGTAAAGCTGGCATTTAATTCTGTGTTTTTATATTGGTGTAGAAAGGGAACCTCGAAATGTTGACTAGGTTTATCCCTTAATTCCAGGGCAGACTCCACTTTCTCTGTCTCCTAAGACATTGACGATTCTATTTTTAAAGCTAGCTAGAGAAAAATCCATACATTTACATAGAAAATAGTGGTGAATGACAGGGGATTACCATCCTCATGACATAACGCCCGCCCTCGGAGAATTCACTGCTGAGTCTCCTGCTGTCCTTTGATACCTCACTGTTCCTTACCCTTTTCTTCTCCTCCTAAATCATCTCAGTACCTAAACCTAGCCTCCAGTATGTTTTCTAAATAGTTCACGGTCAACACTCTTCCAAACATGTGCATCCATCTATAAATTTTACAGCCCAAAATTTGTGCATCATGAAAAGTCAGGTTTGTAAACACTTCTGAAAGCAAGAAGACCATCTTTCAGTTAACTTCATTTTATGTCTCTTACCCAAAAAAAGGGGCACAAACAAACAAAACACCTTAACAGGTGAGTCTAATTTATGTTGGGACACTTTCCCAAGTAAACTTTACTTGCATACATATATACATATATGTAAATATATGTTTATAATTAGAATTTTTGAAGCATCATAGTAAATGCCTTTTATCCTGGACATCTGAAAGTGATGCATAATGTTTGAAAGTACTTTTAGCTTGCTAACAAGGAGCTCATGCTAAATAACAGCATGGGGCTGTATATTGCTGTCTGGTGTAAAGGCACAAACTGGTGATATTTCTATCAATTAATATTAAGATTATTTCATTAATTCTTTTCTGCTCCTGAGTCTGGCATGCTCCCCCTGAACACTGTCAAATTTTGTAAATACACATAATTTTAGAAATTCCTTGTATCTGGCACCAAGACACCAAGCATAAATTGTTTCAAGAAAACACAGTTCCACCTTACGTTCATCTCTGAAAGTCTGGTGCACATATAAATGTGGTTCTGTAAACTTCCAGACACCCTCATTCAGTCGCTTGAGTGCATCTCTTTATTAGGAAAAATGGCACCTAAACAATTGTTCCTTGCTCACTAGAAGGATATTTTAAGTGGGCTTATTTGGCCATTTAATGTTCTCAGTGTGAATGTAAGCTGCTAGGATCTTCTTATTTCCATCTTATTAACAGAATATGCCTCTTCAGATTTGTATGTTTCTTGCATTTTTAGTAAGATGATACCACAGGTGCAAGGAAAATGAGAAATAAAAAGATAAGTGGCAACTTTGCTGAACGATTTGTTTTTAGCTTTCACAGTGGGTTTTTTATTTTTATCATTTAAGTTTTGTGATTGCCAAACAACTCATGCTGCTCCAGCTCTCTTAAATGTGTGTGTGTATGTGTGTGTGTGTGTATACATATATATATATGTAATATGTAACATATATACACACACATATGCAGAAAATAAGAAGACAGCCCAAGACTCCATTATCCATTTTGTAATTGTGCTTCAAACAACAGTGGAGTTTTTGGCAGCGGTTAGTAGAGTGTCTTCCCTTAATTTTTGCTTACATTTAAGAATCAATTCAAGCTAGATTTCACTCAGTTTTTTCCCTTAGACAAATTCATCATTTAGGTATCAGTGGGGAGAGGAGAGGAGAAAGCATCTAATGCTTAGAAAAATGTTCTCATGCACTTCTGTTACCGTGAAGAAAAGGCGTCCCTGATGACGTCTGCGTGCTTCACTTCCCTGGGCGACCCAGGCTGGTGCGCCGCAGCTGCTGGCACCGCAGGAGCACACGTCTCCAAGCGCGGCTCTTTTCTCTTTGAAGAGCATCTTCTCACCTCCATACTCCACAGATTCCCTTGCATTTCTCAGCCACATGGAAGGCAGTTGCACTAAGCCCCGAATTAAGCAGTGACGTTTGTAAAAGTCGTCCTCAGCCAGTCGGCTTGCCCCAGGCTCTTCACAGAAGCCCACACGACTCTAGAACCACGAGTCTCCTTTTACAGTCTTGCACAGTTTCTGGCTTTCCTGGGACTTGTCTCACCCATGCCAACTTCCAAGCTTTTAAATTTATTTATAGAGCTCTTTGCCGTTGCTGCCCAAATACTGCACCGTCATGGTGAGTGACCGGCCCCAAAACCCCCTTTCTCCACCTCGGTGTGACCCCTTGGCATCCTGGTTTCCTCAGCCTTTCCACACACGTGTACTGGGGAATCCACGCTGTTCTGTTTCTTCCTTTCTTTCTTATATTTATATTTTGCGAAGCACTTTACAGAGGATTGAAAATGCAGAACTTACTTCTTGTTAGTGCTCCTGCTTCTCTAGGGAAGAAGGAAATACACCTAAAGAAAGGACATTTGATTCGACTATATCAGCCCCATAAGCCTATTTGCTTGGATACTTGTCTTCGTGTCCGTTTCAGTCCTGGTGGTGTTTGAATGTAATTGCTCAGACGTGCCCCAACCACAAAGCCCTGTGGGGGGGTGTCACTTTCTGTGGATGATTTTAACTAGGCCAAGTCATTTAAAAAGGTGTGTTCAATACAAAACAGAAACAGACTCACAGACATAGAATACAAACTTGTGGTTGCCAAGGGGGCGGAGGGTGGGAAGGGATAGATGGGATTTCAAAATTGTAGAATAGATAAACAAGATTATACTGTATCGCACAGGGAAATACACACGAGATCTTATGGTAGCTCACAGAGAAAAAAATGTGACAATGAATATATATATATATGTTCATGTATAACTGAAAACTTGTGCTCTACACTGGAATTTGACACAACATTGTAAAATGATTATAAATCAATAAAAAATGTTTAAAAATTTTTAAAAATTAAAAAAAAAAAGGTGTGTTCAAGAAGCTTTTGATGCCCTGGATGAGGGAGATGATTGAGTAAATGGTTAAAAAAAAGAAAAAAGCTCCCAGGCAGGCAATGAAGAGAGGAGCAGCAAGGAGATCTGCCCTCTCCTAAGGCAGGTCTCACTGCTCTTGCAGATTCCCCAAACCACAGGACAGCAGACAATTAATGCTGTTTTTAATGAGATGAAAAACTTTTAAGATGTTTTATGGTCCTTTTGTATACTTGCCATAGAATTACGATCTTTTCAAAAAGATGACACTTTCTCAGTCATTTGTCACCACCAGTGATTTCCAGTCCTGATTTTGGAACGATTTAAATGGCAACAGAAGTCTCCAAAACAATTTTTTTAATTAAAACATACTACCAAAAGAGGAATGATCCTAAAATTCCACAGACAGTAAAATCTTGAAAAAATTGGAGTATCAGTGTAAGGTATTAGCTAAATCACAAACACACAGATTTTTAATGCAGATAGTTAAGAAAAGTAAAAAATGGCACTCACAAGTTAATCTTCTGGGTATGTGTGTGTATTTGTTCCCTATTAAAACCATTAACTCAACAACTTCAGTCTTGTTTTAAAAGAAGACTGGAAGTCTTTAAGGGCGGGAGTTCAGAGAATAACAGAAGTATCGTTTGGTCTGGGAGTTAGGGCACTCACTGGGTTCCGGACCTGGCCGGCGACTCTGCGTAGCCTGGTCACAACATGTAACTTCTCCGCGCCTTCTATTTCCTCATTTGTAAAATTAGAGAGTAGGTAAGTTAGGGGGTTTCTCAGGCTTCCCTTCAGCTCTAAACTTCTGTGATTCTCTGCAGCACATGCCTTTGTGTCCTGGACCCATCTCCCACCAGGAGAGGCTTTCTAGAGAGTGTTTAACAACACCAAGATGAGTGTCGGCGTTGACGATCTAGCCAGGAGTCGGGGGATCTCCCTCCCTCCCTCTCTCTCCCTCCCTCCCTCTCTCTCCCTCTCTCCTGTCTCGCTCGCCTTCCTTCACACTCAGACACACGTGCCATCACCTCCACCCATTTCTATCAAGTCAGTAGCAGTTTGCAGACAACCACCTAACAGAGGTTAAATTTTATAAACGAAAGTGGATTTTAAAGCTCATTATCACTGGATTTTAATTAATGTAAATCAAACAGGTGTGCTTTCAAAATGCAGGGTAATATGTAATCTTTCATTGCTGGTTTAATCTAACTCTAATTAGCCTGGAAATGACATATGCTGTGAAATACTCATTTGAGATATCCATTAAAGCAAAGAACACTCAGGACATTTCTAACTTCAGTAAAAGTTTTAGTAGTTTCAGTAAATGATAGATGACTTGATAGAACTCTATGAATAGATCTAAATTATATCTGTTTTGTATTTCAGCAACAGGGACCCAGGCTCAGTCAACTTTATGTTTAACTTATAATTTAAAGTTTATAATCGAGCTGAGAATTGGCTATCCTATTTAACTGATATATAAATGACTTGTATTTATAAAGTTAACATCCTTTTCTGTTGTGAACACTAGTCACTGACCATGTCTAAATATTGTCACATTGAAGATGCTGTGTGTGTCTACTTAGGATTTTAGAACAGATTTGTATAGAAGCAGGTCTAGTTCAAATCACATGAAATTATAGCTGTATTTCAATTAGCACTTGATAATTAACATAATGGCAATTTACAGTACTAGGAACAATTCACTACAAAGCAGTTTTAGTTGTATTATTTTAAATATGTATAATTTGTTAAATTTATCTTAAGGTATGTAGAAAACCTACGTATGGGATTAAATACTTTGGTGACTTTATAGTTGAATATATAACTTAACCTAAATATGTTCTTTAGCTTACTTTAATAAAAGTTAGAAATATTTCTGTCTCCTAATTTCTGTTCAACTCAGCTGTTAGTTCATTGTCTGTTTATATTTAAATGAGAAAACTGTCCTCTTCATACATAAATTCCAGAATTTGTTATTTAATTTCCTATCATTTGGAATATCTGAACAGCCGATGTGGCAAAACTATTCCTTTTTTTTTTTTTTTTTGTCTTGGGTTGGGAATTTTTACAAATGGAAAAACTGGTAAAATCTTTTCCAGTCTGATTGGCTAGATGCTAATCTCTGAGAACATCTTTACAACTTTACTTTGAGACTGTAAGATTCTTCTTTGAATTCAAATATTTCTCTGGCCCTCTACAACACTTAAGATACAAGATATGAAATGTTCTTGTATCTTCAAGTCCAAGCTAATCACAGTGGTTTCTGTTGCAGGTTTATTTTTATTTTTATTTTATCAATGTATAGTCAATTTACAATGTTAGTTTCCGGTCTACAACATGGTGATTCAGTTATACACATGCATACATATAAGTTCCTTTTCATATTCTTTCTTTTTCTTTTAACACTTTTTTAAATTGAAGTATAGTTGATTTACAATTTTGTATTAGTTCCTGGTGTACAGCATAGTGATTCAGTTATGTATTTTTTTCATATTCTTTTTCATTACAGGTTACTAAAGCCACTGAATATAGTTCCATGTGCTATACAGTACGACCTTGTTTGTTGTAGGTTTAAAAAGATAAAAAGACTCAACACCAAGCTTAGACTAATCATCAAGACAGAGAAAAACAATTGGTAAAGTAATGAATGAGGTCACTATTTAAATATGCTTTAATTCTTCTATTTTCTTTTGAACTAACCGTTCTGCTTTCATTATTTTTAATGGTGTTTATGCAAAAAGAATGTGGTCAGTTATTTCCAGCAGTAACTGGAATTTTTCTCAACCCACATCACCTTTACCATGACGCTTTGCCACTCCTTTTATCAAGAGGTGAAGTCTCCCTTCCCTCTCCTCGCCTTGTGACCTGTGACTGCCTTAGACGCAGCAGAGTGGCCTCTGTACCACTTCTGGGCTTAGCCCTTGAAAGGCTTGGCGGCTTCTGCTTTCCCTCTCTGGGGAAGCCAGCCTTCATGCTGTAAAGAAGCTTGGGCTAGACTAGTAAACGATAAGATACCACAGGGAGGTCAGATTCTGGCTTTGCCACTTATAGGTCATGACTTTTGATCATCAGTGTCTTCAGCTCTACGATGAGAATAATAATAACACCTGCCTAAAATGAGAATTTTAACACCTGAGGTTGTTAAAAGTATTAAATGAAACAATTATGTTAATATGCTTTACAAGAGAAAGAGCTATGTCAATATGATTATTTTTAATATCTTCTAGAATATTTGAACATTTTAAGTTCTACAGTTAATATATGATCCCTTGAAATAAACCCATGGAATTTTCAAAATACAGTAGTTGCCATGTTCCCTCTCAAAGAAGTGTGAGAACTCATCCTGTTGAACTGGTCCTGTCTTCCATTTGGTGGCACTTGCATTTCCAACGTGAAAAGGCTCTTACCTTCCAGCAAACAAAAATGTCAAGTCTTTCTTTGTACACCAATTTAGTTTACTGACACTAAAGTGTTTGCTAACTGCCTGGCAAACACTATCAACTATTAGGAAGAAACAGACGTAAATGAACCCAGAATGGGACATGTAGAAAGAAAAAATGTAATGGGATTTAATCAGAAAGGCACAAATTAAGACCTCACTAGAAAATCTAAAGACACCAACACTAGCATCATAAAATAATCTGACCATGACTCTTAGCGACTTCCTAAAGGATTGGAATCATCAGAGATACAAGAGTTGGCTGGAGAGGTAAAACTAAATTTTGAAGAAGAAGCATTTTAGGTATGGGAATACACAAAACAAATTTAATATTGTGCTTGTTAAGCAGCCCAGGGTGATAAACTATAGGAAACTCAACTAGAGAAAAAGCAAGAGATCCAGGCTAG